ACTTCCTTGCTCGAGAGTTGCAGCAGCGTGGCCAGCTTCGTCTTGCGTACGTGGCCACTAGGGGCAACACTGCTGATATATTCACCAAGGCACTTCCGACTGCTGATCATCAGCGCTTCTCTACTGTGTTAGGCCTTGTGCCTACTTTGCCTCACTTGCTTACTGCCTGACTCTGCTTGTACTGTGATCTATATATATACATGCATGCTTACACTTGCTAGGGTATGATCACTGTAGTGTTTGTTCTCTTTATATAACACTACATGTGAACTGGCCTTGTGGTCCTTTGCTTGTACTCGGACTGTGTGGTGACTTTGTGATCCACCTCGAGCTTGCTTTGCTTTGCTTCTTCTCTTGACTGGTCTTGTGACCATTGCTTGCTCTTGCTATCCCCCACTTCGCCTATGGGGGTGTGTCAAAACATATGTGTTTATATTTCTCTAGGCTCAAGTGGGTTTAGCCTTAGGGGGTACAGTTTTTCTCTCGACATTCTACTTGTACCCTCCCCCTTTCACCTAATGCATCATTCTGGATTCTAACATGTCCACCACCTGACCAGTCGCAGCTGCCGTTGCAGCCGGCCTCTCCACTGCCTGCTCCCTCTCCTTACACTGAGCAGTCCGGTGGTCTTACAGAGCGTCGTGAGCCTGGGTCTCGTCCTGTCTCGCCTGTTCGCACTGCTCGCCGCGTTCCTCGTTCGCGTCCTCTTCCTGTCCCCGGCACGCACGCTATGGCACTTCGTCCTTCCTCTGTTCCACTGCGTGTTCCTCTGCCTGCTCCTCCTGAGTCCTCTCTTCTTGAGGTCCCTGACCCTGCGTCTGACCGCGCTCGTGCTGCCAGTCCCACTGTCGCTCGTCTCCTCGCCACTGCTGTCACTGACCCTTCCTTTGAGTCTGCTGCTGCGTCTGCTCTTGTTGCTGAGCTGCTTGACTTTGCTGCTGCCTGTCGTCTAGACTACGCCACTGCTCTTGTTGCTGAGTCTGCGTCTGCCAGTCCTCCGTCCGTCGGGGGTGAGTGTGCTCTTGTTGCTGAGGGAGACCCGGATGCACCAGACATGCTTGGAGGACGAGGTCCAGTTGTCCTCACTGGTCACGCAGACGCTTCTTGGGCTGACAACTCAGCTACGCAGCGGTCGTCACAGGGTTACACCTTCAGCCTCGGTTCCGGCTCTGTGTCCTGGCGGTCTACCCGCTCGTCTTCGGTTCTCAGCTCGAGTTGTGAGGCTGAGATCTACGCAGGGGCCATGGCTGCACAGGAGCTTCGCTGGCTCACCTACCTGCTGACTGACTTGGGAGAGCAGCCTCGTTCGCCTCCAGTTCTGTACGTAGACAACAAGGCCATGATTGCCTTGTGTCAGGAGCACAGACTGGAGCACCGAACGAAGCACATTGCTCTGCGAGACTTCCTTGCTCGAGATTTGCAGCAGCGTGGCCAGCTTCGTCTTGCGTACGTGGCCACTAGGGCCAACACTGCTGATGTATTCACCAAGGCACTTCCGCCTAGTGATCATCAGCGCTTCTCTACTGTGTTAGGCCTTGTGCCTACTTTGCCTCACTTGCTTACTGCTTGACTCTGCTTGTACTGTGATCTATATATATACCTGCATGCTTGCACTTGCTAGGGTATGATCACTGTCTTGTTTGTTCTCTTTTATATAACTCTGTATGTGAACTGGCCTTTTGGTCCTTTGCTTGTGCTCGGACTGTGTGGTGACTTTGTGATCCACCCTGAGCTTGCTTTGCTTCTTCTCTTGACTGGTCTTGTGACCACTTGTTCTCCCCCACTTTGCCTATGGGGGTGTGTTAAAATGTTATATAGCTTATATTGTGTAGGCTATAGTGGGGTAGCCCATAAGGGGTACAACCCAATTAGGATTAGTACTTGTACCCAACTCTTTGCTAGTTCATTCATTCGCATTCGTTTTTTCTGACAAACTCCATCTATGTCGTAAATGAAAATGTACCAAGGGCTCGTCCGTAGTTTTGACATGTCAAAATTGCTAGTGTCAAATTGCTATTTTGACACTCACCAACATTGTTGGCATCGTGTGATTTTTTCGCAGCTTTGATAGACAGTAAAATTCGTCAGACACTTTCAACTCTGACTCAGTCAATACCTACGAACCAGCCAGGATCGTCGCAGAAACAAGTCGGATGACCCCTAGTGGCCAATCAAAACACACCGCTTCCTACTTGAAACCTAGAAACATCTGCTGCCTTGGACGTGCACGAATTGTTTGCATATGCGAGTAATTTCCAACGAATGATATTGCTTCGTGGATCTTCGTACAGGCGCTTCGACTTGACACCAAAGCTACAGTGATTGACACGCAAAAACACTTGTGCTTCGGGTTGACATGCATAAATTTGATATGTCAAAACTACGTACACGATTTGAGACTCACAGAGACATCTGTAGAGCGTGTCGTGCTAGCCACAACACTTGTGGCCAGGGCTATTTTTTGCAGGATAATTTACACGGATTTCCTTGCTCATCCGGGTAAATGTTGAAACCCGCCTTGCAAATAGCAGGATGAGAGGATTTTAACTTGGCCCATCTCAGGGTGGTGTTTTTTTTTTAACACGGATGATGCAGGGTCCGTGCGTTTTTGGCGTGGCCCGAATATCTAATTTCATATATCTTATATTTGTACTCTGCCACACGTTGCGGATTTAGCTTTAGTTCGTGTTTTCCTCTGGTTGGGAAAAACGCGGTTGCACGAGTTTTGGCAACAAAAATGGCTAAGTCCAGGAGAGACAAAAGAATTGGCGAAGTTATTAAGTTCCTCTGCGTCAAAGAGTGCAACGATTTTTTACTCAGCTTAGTGTAGTGCTCCTCCGATTTAACCCGACCTTTACCTTGCAAATGTCGAGTGACCTCAGCCCGGACCGGGTGAAACGCGCGAGTCACTCTTTCTTGACCGGGTGCCCCAAAACGAAAACTTAGCCCTGCTTGTGGCAAAACAGGGTCTTCGAAAAAATCACCCTGCCAAAAATCAGGTGTGGCAAGAAACACCCTGCCACTACCCTGATTTTGCCGCGCGCCACCCAGCAGGAACCCTGATTTAGAAGAGGGGTTTTCAGTTGAGTGAGCACACTTTTCGAAACTAAACGCCAAATGCGTAGTTCCATCGCTTCTGGGGCAGGGTTACTGCCCGTTTTTTGCTTTGAGCGCAGAGTTAGTACGATTTCTACGCAGTTCGACGTTCATTGGTCGACATTTTGGAAAATGACAGGCCCACTGTGTAAGAGAAAACAGTATAACCCAGTCGGGTATTTAACATTTTTTCCAACCCATAGGGAGAAGGCATCAACCCTAAACACTCATCCGTATGGTGTTTAGGGTGGATGCATCCTTCGATGCAGCCTTAAAAATATATGAAAACCCGTCGCAAAGGGCATCAACCCTAAACGCTTCGCCCAATGTTTAGGGTTGATGTCTCCCTAAACAGCATGCCATCTGACTGAGTAATATATTTTTGTTTGCCCAAAATTCAGGTGCAAACGGTGCGATGGCCGTCAATCCAATCGGAGTTGTCGGTCCGTCTACATTTTGACCAATGGAAAATTTACTGCGTAGAAATCTAAATAACTCTGCGCCATGAGCTAGAACTGGGCAGTAACAGTGCGCCAGGAGCGACATTTCTGTGCTTTTGGCGTATAGTTTCAGTAATAGTGCGGGATCACCTAAAAACCCTTGGAAGAGTGCCTTGTTGTAAACGCACCAGCCAGGGGTTGTACCCTCGTTCACTCACTGCTGTTCTGTGTCTGTTTCGGTCCGTGCAGTTCACTCACTGCCGTTCTGTGTCTGTTCCTCATGTACTGTACTTTACAATGGCTACTATTCCTACTGTTACTGTTTTTGTAACCGCCAGTCTCATTCCCCATCTGATGTTTGGACAGGCATTCGTCTTTTCCACGCCGCGTTGACAGCACAATCTTGTTTCATCATTGCACTCCCACAACAGTTCTGTACAGTATCTTGCTCGTTCACTCCTCTTGTAACTGTATGATACAGTACTACACACGATGCCCATTTGGCTCATGCCACCTTTTGAGGCGGCAACGGGGTGTAACGAGAACGAGTTTCCGACAGCTTCGCCGAGTTTCGCCACAGGCAAACGCTGGACTGTAATGAGCCTGGAAGTTATAATTTTAAAATATCTGGAAATTTTGGGATGACATTCCCTTGGTGTGTGTGAGCACTTGCGCAACTGTAGATGTCTTCTTCTGCATTCCCGCGCAAAATGTGACTGTATATGAGGGATATGTGAGGGGCCGTTGGCCGTGCACAAATGCACGAGGGATATGTTGCAATCCGGTAAGGGCAAATTCACAGGATTGACTGAGCATCGACTGTACATTGTGCATTACTCCCTTCCCATCCCACACTAACCGCAGCATTCCGTTCCATCCAAGCATTCAGATTAGCATGAGTCAGGAGTCAGGAGGCGACGATCGTTTCCTGTTTTCCAATTGCATATCTTAGGGCGAGTCACTCTTTGGACTATTTTGTTGAAATGAAACGGCTGAGAACGATGTTGTGCGTTTTAGGGCGGTTTATTCCATCACCATTTGAACTGCCACTTACCATCTGGTACATGACCTGTAAATCGTGTGTGTGACACACCCTAACAACAGCCGCCTAGGGTTCACACACTACCGTACAACGGAGTACAGCTAAGAAATGTCGGACACTTCTTCCATTACTAAGCCTTACCGTCATTGACCGCTTAGTGTTCCGAACCCAAAAAGTGTGGCTCCCGAAATGCACCCGGGTAGCTAGGGTCCACACGGTGTCTTTCGAGCTCGATTAAAACCCGCGCATTTTCACATACCGCGTTCGTGTTCGTGTCGCCACTGTATCACAATCAGAATTCTCACTCTAAAAAAGAAAAGAAAATAAAAAAATCTGAGCAATCTTCCACAGGTGCTGTTGCGAGTCTCGGCGGTGCTGTGCGCCGCCACCCGCCGGCGCCGGCGGCGGATTCAGCAGAGTCGATGCGCGCAGCTTCTCGACCTGCCGCTGGTTGGATGAAATTTGAGCCTCAGTACGGGAACACTGGGGAGGAGCAACGTCACGCCGCCGCCCCGGCGTTGCAGCAGCAGCAGCAGCAGTGTGGCACCAACGGGTCGCATTGGAAAGCGGATGATGCTCACCAGCAGCCGGCTGAGACAGTGACTCAGAACAGCCTTCCCATTTGCTGGATGCAGCAGCAGCAGCAGCAGCAGCAGCAGCAGCAGCAGCAGCAGCAGCAGCAGCAGCAGCAGCCGCAGCAGCAGCAGCAGCCATCTGAGCTGCGTAGGCATCAATACCATGAAGCCGATGAATTCAAATGGAAGAAGACGTCTCACAAGCGGATAGCGGGTCAGCCTGTGAAGAGGTAAGCACAATCGAATACCAGAGATTTGAACGTCACACGGAGATTAGCAAGACTGACAGGAGAGATTTCTAAATGCAGGCACAAGAGAGACTACACGTTGCAGGCACGAGGGATACTCTATGCAGGTGTGGTGCAGGGACTCTCTGCATCATTCGGGACCTCAAGGCACTTGTCATTGACTGTCGGGGTGTCAGGGTGTATGCCGTTAGTACTGCTGCGAGCAATGCAGGTGGACGCTCCACCTGTGCTGCTCTGTTATTCTCTTCTCTGCTCTGCTCTGCTCGGCTCGGCTCGGCTCGGATCGGCTTGGTTTTGCTCTAATTGATCGGCTTGGTTTTGCTCTGCTCCGAGTCTGCTCTTCCCTGCTTGACGCAACTCTGCTTGGCATTGTTCATCACTGGTTTTCTCTGATCTGCCGTTCTCGGCACTGGTCTGGCCGGATCCGTCTGATTCAGCTATGTTCGGCAATGGTCGGCATTGGTCGGCTCTATTCGGCTCCGGGCGGCACTGATCAGTGCTAGCCAGACTTGTCGGCATTCTTCACCCTGGTTGGCTCTTATCAGCTCCGTCCGACTCCGGTCGGCTCGGGTCGTCTTTGGTTCTCTCTTGTAGGCTGAAGCATGCTTTCCCTATTCCCTTCAGTTGTCTCCCGCTGTGCTGTGCACCCCTTTTCTCCTTCCTTCTTGCAGGCTCTACTTCGTTTGCTCGTCAAAGGATGTCACGGGCTGTCCGGCAAAAAAAGTTGAGGATCGAGTGGCCGGTGAGGCTCGTCACCCGCGCCGATCCAGGCTGAAAGGCGCCATCTCAAAAGCCACAGCCGTCTCAAAAACTGCAGCTGTTTCAAAAGCTGCAGCCACGGCAAAAGCTCCCGCTACAGCCAGTGCTGCAGCATCCTCACATCCCAAATTGTGCTGGTTTCGTTTCTTACGTAGGAGCAACTCTAGGGTAGCAATTCCGTAAGATTTTGAAGACCTACCTCAAAGATTGTGGCCAACATTCCTGGTTGTAACTTCGAATGTGATCGTCCCACAAGAACCTTCTTTGAAGTTGTCCTCGCCAAATCGCAGCCACACATCTTCTGGTTTTGGAGACTTACTCCCGCGTAACTACGAACTGGTTTGACCAATCATCTCGTCGCTGTCCATCAGCTCCCTCGTAACTTCTGCCTGGGAAACATTGGGCGTGAACTTTGTTTTGATTGGTTGCGCACTTTCAATCTATTGAATGTCGCGACACCGTCGTGAAAGTCGGTACATACACTTAGAAAATGACAATGATATTCTACAATCCTGCAATATTTACATTGTGACAATATCGCAGCAAGAGTTGGTATTGATATTTGTACACTACAAAATTGTTGAAGTAACATGAACGAACAATGGCATTAATGTACATTAAAAAAACATTATAACGTAAATAATATATTCACGTCCTAATTTGATTCGAATTTCCAGCAATACAACTTCGGCATTAAAATGCTAAGAACGAGAGTGAAAACCCCAATATGTTAAAATAACAATACAAAGAAACGCAAAACCCAGCCAACGAAACTAAAATAAAATCGCTTCATACTAATTTACTACGAAAACATCAACGCCAGCACGGGAAATAGGACCCTAATCCAGAGCTACACCATGGAGCATGTTAGAGCAGTAATAGACACCACCAGAACAAGTAAAACGAAGATAAAATGTAGAGAAAAGTGCACGTGAAACGGTTGCTTACCAGATACATACTAACAAAGAGCTGCAGGGAAAACAAGACAAACGAGTTGTTGATAGCAAAAAAACGAGACAACGATCCACTAACCGCAACAGAACACCATAAACAGTCTGACAAGCCTAAACGATACGCCATTCACGATCTGCCAGAACATGGAAAACCACATATGAGACTGAGCCCATCAGAAAAGGCACGATTGTCTGGAACGAAACAAAAAAAGAATAAAATAATAACTCAAAATCGACTTAGCAGCGCACCTCTCAGCTCTACATAATTATCTGCAGACAGCCACATCTGCTTCACACGTCGCCTGCATAGACCAACATCTGACAACAACGAAACAAAAAGACGAGAAGGTTGTGAAGCCCAAAAGTGATTTCACAGAAGCGCGGACGACAGAGCGACTTGAACAGCGCCCCGCGGTAAGAACTAAAGGGAACAAACACTAAACAGACAAGAGAACTGAGATGCAGAAACAACAATCGAGCACTAAAACTAGCTATGAGAAGTCGGGCTTTTGGAGTAGCTGCATAAGAAATGGCATACGAGATGGCTCTCTCCCCTCCCCTCCCCTCCAGGGCTGAGAACTGGGGCTGTTGCAGCAGCTGCATGCAACGAATTGTCTTGCAATGCTCTTTTGTCGTTGCTTGCAATTGCCTTGCACCGCTGTAGTTTTGTCGTTTCGTGTGCAGCTCTTGTTTCTTTTTGCACTATCCGGGAAGAAAAAAGCAGTGTACCGATTTCCATAAAATACCTCATTGCAATAAAAGATTAAGTGAAGCGCACAGGTGGGGTTAACCAGCGAGATTATTAGGTTGAAAGATGCAGAAGTCGTGCGTGAAAAAAGTCGGCGCGTCACAAACACTTTGAAAGCTGTGACAAACAATCCCATCAGCAACAGCCCTCGCACAGCACCTTGCAACAACTGCCCATCACGCGACAAAATACTCGCCTGTCAAATGCTGACGTCGTAAATTCCTACTGTAGCTTCTCTCTGCCCGCATATCTGTATATCGGAGTATATTGTCATTCAAAACGACTACGTGAAAAAATAAGAACTAGTATTTACCCAATATTCTTCCCAGCCTAACACAACCTGCAGACCTCATTTACCGGTTAGACAAATACTTCACGCTTGCTGATACAGTGCCGAACTGCTGGAAGCCAGCTGTACATCCACCGACACAAACACGACAAACGGACCCATCATCCCATTAGCGACAACATTTCCCAGATGTGTGAAGGAAACATTGACTCGTGAATATTGCGGGAGTGTTGTATGCAGCTGGAAACACTAACTTTCATACAAACTGGTTGCTTATAACTATGACATTACAAAATCTCATGAAAATAGATGTCAAAATGGCAACCAAAGATTTGGCTTGACATTTTTATGTTTTATGTTTTTAGGATTGTGAAACCCCGTTATTCATGTTTATAATACCCTAATACATCTGAATGGATCCTAAACACTCTACTTGGGTTAGTTTTTTGCCCCAAATGCACGCAAATGGGCTCGTAACCACCATGATTGTTGTTAAAATCGGTTTTAATGTGGGTTTCCAGCCTCCCCTAGGCCTAGTCAACGAATTTGCACCAAAAAGGGTTATTTGCATAACTTTCAAAAGAATCACGAGGACATCTATGTATGTACATACACAGTTTCATCTCATTTGGTGTACAAAACAGCCTCACTCATAATGGTGTCATGCGAATGACACCAAAATGGGATGAAACCCTTCATACATCATTAATAACTCAGTGGTGTGAAGAAACATTGCTTAACAAAAGGCTACGCAGCGTTGAAACGACATCGTCTGCCATCTTGCAACCGACATTAAATTATATTGACACCCTCCTGATATCATTTATGAATTAGTGGTGCGAATACACATAGAAAGAAAAAATAACACAGCGTTGAAACAGCATAGTGAGCTGGCATATTTTGAATTACCGTAGTTATTGGTTAAGTAAATGTGTACCGGTAGTGATTTTAACGTCTCATCGATCTGAAAAGACAACTTCTAAACATTCAATTCACACTAAAAGAATGTTTGGTTGACAATTAGGATCTAAAAAATGCATGTATTTACATTCAAACCTTTTTACAATCGAAAGGCACATTACAACAAACAATTTCCATCAAAGTAGTTTCTGCGGGTACTGTATCGGAGAATATCTTTAGCGGGTCAAGCCAATCTAGTTTTGTGCCAAACCATCGCAAGCCGCTGCTTCGTGGAAGGAGTATATCCACACCCTAATCTTACAGAGCAGTAAGTTTGAATCGAACGACCAAAGACAATTGCGAGAACGGTTCTGTGGAAGTTTCGTGGGTAGAGTTGAAATAGCTCGACCAATAATATCGCTCGCAAGTGTGGCGTCGAAATTTCGGTGATGCTGCACCTCACTGATTCCCGAGTCGCGAACCCAGAGAAGCAACCTGCAGGTAGGTTCAGGAAAGTTACTCCATCGCAAGCCCTAAAAAACATGCCACCCCCACCTCACACATTTTGGGATGCAGCTGCTTGCAATTCTGCAGCTATAGCCAACCTCGTTGCTATAATAAGAGAGGCTGCAGCAGGGCGGGCAGAAGAAGACGACACGGGGTCGGGCAAGACGGAGATGCGTGTGGTGGTGCGGGTGGCATATTTTGGCTCACACAACCACCCGCCGCCCGATCCTGTACCTCCCAAGGCGTTTGCCGCAAGGCTTCCTGCTGCCAGCTGCCTTTCCACTCAAGCAGGCCCCTCTTCTGCTACAGCCTTGGCCTCTGCTACAGCCTTCGTCTCTGCTACAGCCTATGCCCCCGCTACAACCTTTTCTTCTGCCGCAGCCTTTGCCTCTCCTACAGCCTTCTCCTCTGTTACAGCCTTCTCCTCTGCTTCAGCCTGCACTCGCAATAGAAGCAGCCTCCCTGCAACGACTGGTCTGTCAGGAACCGCCAACGCAGCAGCAGAGCAGACACCCCTCAGAGCAACCCAAACTCCATCGCCACCCTGTTTCTCTGCTACAACCTTCTCGCCGGCTACAGCCTGGACTCCCAATACAAGGCCCCTCCTTGCAACAACCGGCCTGCCAGGTACCCCCAGCGCAACAGCAGAGCAGACAGCCATCAGAGCAACCCGAACTCCATCGCTACCCTTCCTCTCTGCACACCCCCCTCCAACCCATTATCCTTTCTCGCATTCTCCCTCGGCATATGTTCAAGCAATCCCTGCGTGTTTTGATTCGGCCCAAGCTGCTCTATGCTTCCCGTTCAGCCCCCTACGGGCACCTTCAAGCCAGGTGGTGCAATCACGTGAAGCTCCCGCTGCTGCATCAAATGCTCTTGTCCCTGTGCCTCCAATGGGGCCTCTTGACCCCCCTGCTACAGGGCCTCCTGCTCCTGCTACAGCTCTCGCTCCTACAATAGTCTCTCGCGCCCCTGCTGCTACAGTGTCTTCAGCTCCTGCTACAGTGCCTCCTGTTTCTGCTACAGTTTCCGCTCCTGCTGTAGCCTCTCTTGCTTCTGCCAAAGCGCATCCTCCTCCTGCTGCAGCCTCTCCTACTCATGCTGCAGCTGTCTACCATACCCTCCATGCTCCTCTCTATGATTCTCGTCTCATGTCGTGCTCACCCACCAGCTTTCAAGCCTCCTTCCCCTCGCTCCATCACCCCCCTCCTCTCCCTCCTCCCTTCACCCGTTTCTCCACCACTCACCCGCCCTTTCTTCTCTCTCCTGTGCATTCGTCAGGCATCACCAACAGCAACAGCAACAGCAACAGTAGTTACTTTGTCGCCATGGCTCATATGCGAGCACGTGCAGCAGCACCATCAGCACCACCAGCAGCACCACCACCACCAGCAACAGCAGCAGCAGCAAAAGGAAACGCCTCTGATGACAGTACAAGGTCAGATGTGCTGGAAGCACAGCAGCAGTAGCAGCAGCAGCAGCAACAACACCAACAGCAGCAGCGACAGCAGGAACACCAACAGCAGCAGCAACAGCAGGAACACCAACAGCAACAGCCGCAGCAACAGCACCAGCAACAACAGCAGCAGCACCAACAGCACCACTACCATCAACTGCAG